TTCAATAAAGCTCAGGTTAGTTAGGCTTCTGCCCCATCCGTCTGGCTAGGGCTGCCTATTTTTTGGTGGAAAGCATGACATCTCTGCTTCATGGATCGTTAGGCACCTTTTGTTCCCCTCACTGACAGACTCATTATTTACCAGACTCATTATTCACCCTCTTGACCACCGCATCACACTGCTGAGTCATGTTTAGCCTGCAGTCAACCAGCACCCTGGGGTCCCTTTCACAAGTGCTGCTCTCCAGCCACTTGTCCCCTAACCTGTACTTATGACACCTATTCCTATGCCCCAAGTGCAAGACCTTGTACTTATCCACATGGAACGCCATCCTGTTGTCTCCTGCCCACTTCCATAGTCTGTCCAGATCCTTTTGGATCTGGAGTACCTGCTCCTCAGTTGTGGCCACTGCCCCAGTTTTAGTGTCGTCTGCAAATTTGATCAGCAGACTGCTCACCCCTTCTTCCATGTCATTGATGAAAAGATTAAACAGGATCGGCCCCAGGACAGAGCCCTGGGGAACCCCGCTTGTCACTGGCCACCACTCCAATGATTCCCCACTAATGGTTACCTTCTGCTTTCGGTCAGTCAGCCATGCCCTAATCCACCGACAGTGCTTTGGTGTATCCCAAAACTCCTCAGTTTCTCCACCAGGATATCATGGGGCACTTTGTCAAAGGCCTTGCTGAAATCCAGGTAAATCACATCCACTACATCCCCTCCATCTAGCCATCTCGAAACCTTGTCATAGAATTCCACAAGGTTTGTCTGGCAGGACCTGTTTTTGTGGAAGCCATGCTGTGTGGCTGCCAGCTTCCCTTCCCTATCTAGCATCACTAGATCTCTCTCTATTATAAGCCTTTTCATTGTTTTTCCTACAATGGACGTAAAGCTAACTGGTCTGTAATTCCCCATGTCCCTTCTGCTACCCTTTTTGAAAATTGGGACCTCTGATGTCACCCTCCAGTCCTCTGGAACTTCACCTGTTCTCCACGAGGCCTCAAAAATGGAGGCCAGCGGGCATGAGAGAACCCTGCCAACTCTCTAAGTACCCTTGGGTGTAACCCGTCAGGGCCTGGTGCCTTTGTAATGTCCAATGCCCTGAGGAACCCCTCGACTTCTAGGGGGTTGACTCTAATCTGTGCCCCTAAGTCCCTGACCTCATCTAATCTCCTATGCGGATATCCCCCATCCTGCTTTGGGGAGAACACAGAGGAAAAATAGTCATTTAGCATCTGTGCCTGTTCCCTCGTATCAGTCACTGGATCTCCTTCCTCCGTATTTAGCGGTCCCACTACCTGTCTCCCCTTCCTCTTCCTATTTACATGCTGAAAGAAGCCTTTTTTGTTGCTCTTGATATTCTTGGCAAGTCTCAGCTCGTAATCAGCCTTAGCCTTGCAAAGAATCCTCCTGCAACGGGCCTCTTCCTCCCGGTATGCCTTTTTGTCTCTTTGCCCCAGTGCCCATTTCCTGCGGAGGTTCCTCTTGTGTCTAATCCCTCCAACCACCTCCTTCCACATTTATGGTAGCACTCTCCTCCACCTCCCCTCCCCTTGTTAGCTTGCATGCACACAATTGCAGGCCGGCACATTTGTATATTCGCACCAGTGTGCATTGTGGGAAATCTCTCCTGCCTCAAGGGAAACGTCTTCAAATCTGAGAACACACAACACAGAAAAAGCCCGTCTGCTGCAGAATCTAAACACAATTGAAACCATGGTGGGTTTCTCTGAAATCCCTAGCAGTGGCTAACTTAATTCAGGCCAATTTCTGCATTAATCAATGCATCCAGTTCTTAGTCTCTGCTTCAGGCTCTGGAACCAGGGAATGGTGTTAACTCCTGTGTCAGTGGGACTCTGTGGCATCCCTTTGCAGCTTTTCCTTGGTGCTTCATAGCAGCTCTCCATTGGACTCCATAGCAGTGGAATTCAGGACCACAGATAGCTCCTAGCAATCTCAAAACAAAAGTTGTAGAAGGCACAGCAACGATCAGCCTCCCCTGCCCAGAGCTAGTTTGAAGTTAAACTGAAAGAATTTCCATTTCATTTCTCCTAGTACTAAAATGCATTGCGTTATTGTACTTTTGTGCATTCAGGTGCGCTTCTGTCATGAGATTTGAATAAGAATGCTTATACAAGCAGAATTATATGAGGGATTGAGCAGCTTGGTGGATCAACCCTTTCTTCAGTATGGTGTACTCCACCCTTCATTGTCTGAAAAATTCCATTAGGCTTACAAAGTTTAGACCTCGAATTATGACAAAGGATCAAATGTGCCATCCATCAGCTCTCCAGGTCCTGCTCCCTTCCCAGTGCTTATACCAACCTAAAAAGCATCCTTGGAAGACGGAAGCATTCAGTAGCGGCTTCCGGCAGGCCAGTGCCATTGTCCTATCTGGACCACTGAAGACGTTTCGGGAATCTGTGCGATGCATAGTGCAGGTGCGACAGGTCACCTTGGGGAGCCAAAATGGTGTGATGCAGCCTCTGGTCCTTTCCCTTTTCTCTGTCATTCTTTTGAAAGATACAGGAAGAAAGAATGAAATGAAAACTAGAAGAACCACTTGATTTGCAAGTTTAAAGTTTCATGACCCATATTACAAAAGCCCTAAAATTAAATTTTACTAATATGAACAAGTGAATTTGGGGTATTTAGTATGAGAGCTGGTTCACATTTACATTTTGTAGATGTGCATGTGCAGTATTTTGGGTGTACATCTGAAATATAAAATGTGCTGTAGGAGAAAAAGCGGATACTAGTAGACATGACATTCATTCCAATACATGTGACAAGGGAGCAGGACTGCTTTGGCTTCGTATGCTACTCCACACTTTGCAATTTTAGCTTTTGTAACGGGTATTTTAAAATGCTTTGCATGGAACACGAAAGTATTCAAAAAGTCTGCATTATGCAATTATCCTTGTCAAGGAGCAGCGTTCACCTGCTGTTCCCTGCCAGGTATGCTCAATGGCGAACTGGAGCCTGGAATCTGGTTGAGGTTTGTTGTCTGCCACGGAAAGTGAGAAGTGGCCCTTACATATTTCTTTTGCCTGGCATTTAGCCCCCAAAGGGGCCTATGTTTGAACAACAGATGCTGCTGACCTATTTCAATGTGCTTATTTCTTTCATTAGTCAAGCAGAATGTATGTCCTTGCTCATAGTTTCTGTGTAATTCCTCAACTTTCACCCTAATTGTTCCCTTTTAGAAGTGGGTTGAGCCTTAAATTGTCAACTCAGTTGCCTTCGACCAAGGAAGTTTAGTGCCCTTTTTCCTCTCCTTTAATGAATGCCAAAATCATCATGGAATAATTCATGAATAATGTATTGTAGCCCAATTAAGTGTGACTGCTGCTTTATTTATCACAAGGGGTATTTGATGCCAACAGCTACCCAGTAGACAATGGTGCTGTTTTTTGACAGACAAACTGGCAACCTGTAAACACTTAGCAGAGTTGGAATTCTATAAATTAAAACTGTTCTTGCATAACAACTTCCACCATAAGTATAATTCCGCCTCCCATATATTAAGTAATGTTTACCTTAAAATGTGAAAACATTTGCATCTATTTCTTGGTATGAGTGGAGAGGAAACCTGGGTGGATCTGACATCATAAAGAGAGAAAAGGAGAAGTCACCTGCCCACCACTGAGTTCTCCTCCTATTATTCACTACACACCTTTTTCAAGTAATTGTTCTCCTTGCTGACTGGTATAAGGGATCAATAAAACAATCTTAACTAGGGATAAGAGATTAACTATGGTTAAGAGAATGGAATTAACCCATGGCATCTCCTTCCTCACATTGGACATCAGGGCAACCCTTTCCTGCATTTTCCAGACCCTTCAAAAATCTGAATAGCCACAGTCTGGATGAGACCTGTACTGCAATTAAAGAACTAGTGATGGAAAGAGCACAGAGATTTAGTTAATGCAAATAAGATATACACCTTAATTACCTGAAAATTGCCCTAAGTTAATACATCAATATTAACAGACTCCCTAAATGTATTTGATAGTGATTGTTAGATAACATTAGCTCCCAGATGACATGACAGTGAGGAGAGTTCTTGTGTCAAAGAGTTTGCAGAGTAATCACTGAGTGTGATAACAGACTTGTAATTCTCTTATGTTACAGCTGTAATAAAAACCACGTGCAGTTTCTTCAGGAATACTGGTCCCCATGCTCACGTCAGAGCTTGATGCAACACCGAAGGTAGTACACATATTCATTGTGGTGCCGCACCGGTGGATCTACCTGTGTCCTGGAGGGAATGATCCTCTGGCTCCTAGACTTCATCGGAGGGACTCACCAGAGGCTGGATTCTTACTTGTGAACTCAGAAGCACAGCTCCAACATTGGCTTGGAAATGGGAGCTCCAAGCCACATCCTCACTCCCTTGCAGTGGGTGCTCTGGTTGCTCTCCCAGGTTGAGAGCGCAACCTCAGAAAGGGGTAGAATGGGGTGCTCCAGGGTATAGGGCAGGGCAGAGGCTCGGATGGCCAGGGTACGAGGTGTCCTGAAGGTGTTCCAGCCTCCTTCCCTCCTGCAATAAGACGCCATCCCAAGATGGCCCAAAACAACCGTCCAGTGAAAATACAGAGCAGCATCACCATTGCTCCTCTGGTTCCATGACCTACAGAGATGCCACAATTCCAAGAGGATTGCACCTCAAGCTTCATTTTAGGGGAAAAGGGGGAGGTGGGGGAAGGAACTCAAGCCATATGAGGAGAGACTGAGAGAGCTGCATCTTTTCAGCCTTGAGAGGAGGAGACTCAGAGGAGACCTGTTAGAGACATAACGGTATGTGAGGGGGTGCCGTGCAGAAGTGGGTCATGACCTTTTCCCCCCTGCAGAGCAGGGCAGGACACATTCCAATGGAGCAAAGCTTGGGGAACCAAGATTCAAGTTGGATGCCAGGAAGTACTTCTTGATGGTTAGGATGCCTAGTGCATTGAATGGGCTTCCATGGGAGGTGGTTGAGGCTCCATCGGTGAGGGTGTTCAAGGATATGCTGGGCATGCACATGGTAGACATGTCATGAGTGGAGCCGGCTGGCCCGGGAGGCCCCGGGAGGCTCCTTCTCTCTCTGTCTCTCTCTCTGTTTGCTTTCCTAGCAGCTCTGAAGTCCGTCCTGTGTGGTGGTGCTAACTGAGGACCCAGAAAGCAGCTCTGGTGGAGCAGATCTTCTGGAAGTAACGGGCATACCCAAGAGCCAGTGCAGGCCCAGCTGGCCCTTCCTGGCCAGTGCAACCCCAGGAGCAGCTCCATTACAGGTACATTGTTACTCAATCTTTGCAAGGTGTGTGCATCTTGCTTCAAGGCTTTTTCTGCATGCATTGGAGCACATCCCGTCTCATTTTCATGATCATCCTTAGGATTGCAATTATGGTTTCTGGGTTAAGCACATGGCATACCCAAACCTTTTCCTGAGCAATCCAATCCCTACTTTTTACTTTATATGCATAATCTGGAATTTTGTCCAAGGGGACAAGATGGGGGGCAGTTCCACTCCCCCTTGTCCTTTCTCACCAAGAGCCTGGCAGAGGAATGACAGGGATCGCAAACAGAATGCCAGGAGGAGAGACAATAGCCTGAACTGTGCTACTCCACACCCAGCCCTCCTTTCTGGCTCTGCTTTCTCCCCCCATGCTCAGAGCAAATGAATTGCAGTGACTTTATAATAAGACCTTTTTCCCATTAAAATATTTTCACAGCATTCATTCAAATGCTTTCTATCTTCAACGGGCAGGGTTCCGATTGCCTCAGTTGCTTTATGTGATTAATTCCTCAAAGGAGCTTTCAAAATATTGATGACGGATAAGCCCCGATGTCCATCAACTTGACTTCCCTTGTGCAAACATTGTTCTGCAGGCCAGAAATGCTAACCGAGCACGGATGCCACAAATACCTTGCATGCAGTTTTGGGGCAGGGCTTCAGCATCACCAGTGGGCTACCATTAAAAGGCTCTCTAGACAAACGGTTTGATTCAAGCTGCAATTACAGAGACCCGAAGTTAAGATGGATCAGCAGGTTCCTGCGCAGGATGTTTAAAGTATATCTTACTTCTTGCCAGTTGGGAAAGTAGTGGTGAAGCTAACGTGAAAGGAGAACACGGAAACCAGAAACATTGCAGCAAGCACGGGCGGTGGGGTGGGGGGCTTTATTAGGGGAGTTTGGCTTGAAGCAGAACAGCAACCAGTCTTTAGAGTAATCGAATGTTTCCGGCTGTATAAGGAGATGGCCATTCCCAGGCTGGAGGGCAAGGGCCCTCCAAGGTGTCCATTTAGGCTCGGGCATTTCTCAAAGGTAAGATCTGGAAAAGATCCAAGGATCAGAACACATGAGGCCTGAAGGGGGACTAGCTTGTAAATGAATGTTAGACCAAAGTCCAAGAGGGGAAGCACAGACATAGCCTAGCAGCCATCTGTCAAAGAACTGAGGGCTTTTAAGACTGAACTTTGAGCCCTACTTGGGGCTTCACTGCAGATAATTGGAGATGCCACAGAGAATTCCTACTTGCAAGGAGAAACTTGCTGACAGGTAGTCCTATATTGGTGAGACGTTCCGCATTTTTGAGGGGCACTTTTTCACCCACTTTCCAGATGCCTGCATTCCCCCAGACGAGGTACGGATCCCACTTCCATCTCTGAAGGATAAGGATGCTCCCTGCACCTTGCAGAGACGGGTCTCCCAGTGGCACCCCACACACTCTGCTGTTTTGGGATAGTCAGCTCAGGGAGCTCCAGGCACCCGCCAAAAGAGACCCCTTGGCAGCAGGAGGCAACCTAGGCTTGGAAGCAGCCCTGTGGTACAGAGCAACATTGAACTGTTTCTTCCTGTGGTTTCCAGAAGCCCCCGGATTCCATCAAATTGTGGAATTCTCATTCCATAAATGTTGTCACTTATTGAAAGGCATGCAAAGGGGATTGACTCCCCTCACCCTATTTCTCAGCCCACTTCCTGGTGTAGCATTGCTGTGATGTGAATGCAGAAAAGAGATGGGCTTGCAGAAAAACTGCTCCTGGTATTGACAAATGTCAGCTCATCCACCCCTTGAAGCTCCTGCTAAGGCCTTCCTCAGGGTGGCCACCTCCAGACGGGGTGTGGGAAGGCAGGGACACTTCTGGGTAGATTATTTGTCAAAGCCAAGGCAGTGCACATCCTCTTCCTCTCCATTTATCCTGTGAGTTAGTTTAGGCTGAAAGTCCGTGACGGGCTCCAAGTCACGTGGTGAGCTTGATGGCCAAGTGGTGGGCAAGAATCTGAGTCTGCCCAGTTCCAGTCCAACACCCTAACCACAGCTTCACATTTCTTCTCACTGACTACCACAATATCAAGCTGAAAGGAAAGAAAACTAACATTTTAAGAGGAAAATAAGCATTTACATAACATTGTTGATGTTAGTCGCAAAGTTGTGCCTGACCCATCATGACCCACGGATGACATTCCTCCAGGCTCTCCTGTCCTCCACCATCCCTGAGTCCACCCAAGCCCACACCCACTGCCCCAGGGACTCCATCCAGCCACCTCATCCTCTGCCGTCCCCTTCTCCTTTTGCTGTCGATCGTTCCCAGCATCAGGCTCTTCTCCAGTGAGTTGTTCCTTCTCATTTAGTGGCCAAAGTATCTGGCCTTCTAAAGAGCAGTTGGGGTTGATTTCCTTTAAGATTGATTGGTTTGATCTCTTTGCAGTCCAAGGGACTTTCAACATATGGCTATCCAACTAAAGTACACAATCATGTATCATTATATATACATAGCAAGTCTTCAGGGAGGGACCTCAGACTACCCCATTTTTATGTAATGGTCCCTGTCAACCTCAACAGTTTTGCAAGGAAAAGTGAGATTTGGGGAGGTTGTGCAATGAGGCAATTGCAGAGGCGGAGCTTGGCCTGGTCCCTATGAGGTCTAAGTCCAGCTCCCCATCCAGGGTGGCTGGTCCAAGAAACATGCTGTGCATGCCACAGCACAGGAGCAGTGCCCAGCGAAGAAGTGACCTCTGCATTTGTTACAACCTTTCCCAAAATGTCTCAGGCAGTCACAGAAAGCGGTGTGTGTGCAAGCGTGCCTGATAAATGGTCCCCAGCCCTCACGCCCTGTTTGCCTGAGCCGTTGCTTCTTTTAAATCACCCATCTTATCTTGAAGAAACACATCTTGTTCTGAATCCGAACCAGGTTGCTTATCTCACCTCCAGAGACTGCCCATCAATGTGAGGGTGTGAAGCGAAATGACTTCGCCAGCTATCAGCTCAATTTGCAGCGAGCAGCCCGCATCTCGATACCAACACATAATTCAGTGGCTCTGGCACATTGTTAAAAGGAAGACTAGAATCGCACTGCCAGGGACACTGAATTATATCAACTTGAGACAAAATCTGAGCCCTGCAGGTCAGGATTGGAGGACACTAAAGGAAGCTTAAGCCTGTATTTTGTAGCAGCTAATATTTTGAAATGTGGACACGCAACAGAGCTGAAAATGTAATGGTGGTTGAGGTCAACCTTCCTCAGATTTTCCCGGAAACAATTAAATGCAATACTAATGTTATCAGCTATCATTTATAGTTCCACCACAAAAAGAAAGGGCTATATGGATTGTCCATTACTCCTTGATGTGTTTCAAGAGACACTCTTTTTCAAGTGGAAAGTTTCCTCCATGTATTCCTAAAACATGATAAGAATGCTCTCGAAGCTCTCAAAGTGCCTGATCCTGCCTAATTTTGGAAGCTAAGGAGAGTCAGGCCTGGTTGGACTCTGGATGGGAGATGTGAATTTGGCACTGAGCAGGTGGTTGGACCCGATGGCCTGCCAGGCCCCTTCCAATGGTACGACTCCATGAAAAACCCTTCATAACTAAAGCTAAGAAGACTGGCCATTTGTAGTTTTCTTTCAGATTGGCCCCAAGAACTTGCTACATGTATCATTACCTGAACTCAGAAAGTAGTTATTTATTATTAAAAGCATTTCTACTCCATCCTTTACCAAGGTCTCGACACTGCAGTACAATAATAAAAAAGAATTGTCGTGTGTGCTGCCATGATTCCACATCAGCACAGAGAAAGGACAGAGATGAATGCAATAGAGCTTCCATCAGATGTTAACTTTCCATTAAAATAAGGAGCTGGTTGCTAGCCTGTAAGATTGTGAAGATGCATTGGAAAGCGTAGGGTCAATTCTTCCTCATCGGTCGCATGGGCTGGTTAAAGAGAAGCACACGTTCTCCAGCCCGCAAAGAGGCAATTTTGAAATACAGCACAATCACACTTGGTTCTCTCTAGGGGAGAACCCAGGAGCTTCCCAAAAGTTGCCGCCTGGTTCCTGATATTGACCTTCATCAAAGATCTACAAGGAAAATCAATGGGATGGAACTTTCATCTTGCCACTTCGAGAATTTACCTTGATTTTAACAAGACTTTTTGTTATGCCAGAATACTGTGTTCTCACTGAATATTCTTCCTTTCTTAATATGAATGCCCTACAAGACAAGTGGCTCTGTGTTTGAGAATTAGCTCTAGCCTTCCTGGATACTGCTGAATCAAGGGACATTTGGCAACTCTGCTGAAGTCGATTTCTATTGTGGGAATGGCAAGTCCAGGTGTGCACAGACCAATATTGGGTACAGGTGAAGTTCATCAGGGCACTGCTCACAGCCAACAGCCATCACTCCACTGTTGGGTTCTGCAATGGATACACAGAAAGTGTTTTGATTCAACACATCTTTCACCTTGATTTCAGGATTATAGAAACAAAAAAGCAAAAGGCATGTGGATTAGAAGAGGCACATTTCCCCCCAAATAGTTCTAATTTATTTCATTTCATTTCATTTGTAGGCAGTTATTTGGCAATTGGTGGAACTAACTTTCTGTAAGGCCACAGAATAAAATCTGTAGATTCTGATGTGTGTATATTGGAGTTGCGACTGGGACTCAGACGATCTGGGTTCGAGTCCCCGCTCAGCCATGGAGCCAACTGGGTGACTTTGGGCCAGTCACAGACTCTCAGCCCAACCTACCTCACAGGGTTGTTGTTGTGAGGATAAGATGGAGGAGAGATGATGTAAGCTGCCTTGAGCCCTTTGTAGGAAAAAGGCAGGATATAAATAGAAAATAAAATAAAAAAAAAAGTTCTCCAAAATGTTGATGCCCATTCTGACTTGAGTCTGTATCAGAAAGTGATGTTTTTTATTTTCACATAAAAATTAATGTGTATTTTCATGAACATTCCCCAAATGTACTCATCAGTTATCCACATCTTTGAAATGCATGCATTCTTCTCC